AGTGACTTTTAATATTTTTGATACACGACAAGAAGTTACTGATCCACTAGATTCTGAATTGTTTCTGGATCGTTATGAGCCTTCTTCCAAAAATCCTTGTTAAAGACCTTGTGGTGCAACGGTAGTGCATCTGATTCCAGATCAGAAGGTTGTGTTTCCAAATCAGTATGATTAAAAGTGATAGCATTTAAAAATGACAAAAAATGGCCAAAAAACAGTGAGGTTGTGTGTCCCTGATGGTCTAGTGGTCAGGATTCGGCGCTCTCACCGCCGCGGCCCGGGTTCGATTCCCGGTCAGGGAAGTGACTTTTAATATTTTTTATACAGGACAACATGATACTGATCCACTAGATTCAGATTTGTTTCTGGATCGTTATGAGCCTTCTTCCAGAAATCATCGTATAAGACCTTGTGGTGCAACGGTAGTGCATCTGATTCCAGATCAGAAGGTTGTGTGTCCAAATCAATATGTATAAAAGTAAAAGCATTTAAAAATGACAAAAAAATGGCCAAAAAACAATGAGGTTGTTTGTCCCAGATGGTCTAGTGGTCAGGATACGGTGGTCTCACCACTGTGGCCCGGGTTCGATTCCTGTTAAGGAAAGTTCCATTTAATATTTTTGATACACAACAAGAAGTTACTGATCCACTAGATTCTGATTTGTTTCTGGATCGTTATGAGCCTTCTTCCAGAAATCCTCGTTAAAGACCTTGTGGTGCAACGGTAGTGCATCTGATTCCAGATCAGAAGGTTGTGTCCAAATCAATATGATTAAAAGTGAAAGCATTTAAAAATGACAAAAAAATGGCCAAAAACAATGATGTAGTGTGTCCCTGATGGACTAGAGGTCAGGATTCGGCGCTCTCACCGCCGCACCCAGGGTTCGATTCCCGGACAGGGAAGTGACTTTTAATATTTTTGATACACGACAAGAAGTGACTGATCCACTAGATTCTGATTTGTTTCTGGATCGTTATGAGCCTTCTTCCAAAAATCCTCGTTAAAGACCTTGTGGTGCAACGGTAGTTCCTCTGATTCCAGATCAGAAGGTTGTGTTTCCAAATCAATATGATTAAAAGTGATAGCATTTAAAAATGACAAAAAATGGCCAAAAACCAGTGAGGTTGTGTGTCCCTGATGGTCTAGTGGTCAGGATTCGGCGCTCTCACCGTCGCGGGCTGGGTTCGATTCCCGGTCAGGGAAGTGACTTTTAATATTTTTTATACAGGACAACATGATACTGAGCCACTAGATTCAGATTTGTTTCTGGATCGTTATGAGCCTTCTTCCAGAAATCATCATATAAGACCTTGTGGTGCAACGGTAGTGCATCTGATTCCAGATCAGAAGGTTGTGTGTCCAAATCAATATGATTAAAAGTAAAAGCATTTAAAAATGACAAAAAAATGGCCAAAAAACAATGAGGTTGTTTGTCCAAGATGGTCTAGTGGTCAGGATTCGGCGCTCTCACCGCCGCGGTCCGGGTCCGATTCCCGGACAGGGAAGTGACTTTTAATATTTTTTATACAGGACAACATGATACTGATCCACTAGATTCAGATTTGTTTCTGCATCGTTATGAGCCTTCTTCCACAAATCCTCGTATAAGACCTTGTGGTGCAACGGTAGTGCATCTGATTCCAGATCAGAAGGTTGTGTGTCCAAATCAATAAGATTAAAAGTAAAAGCATTTAAAAATGACAAAAAAATGGCCAAAAAACAATGAGGTTGTTTGTCCCAGATGGTCTAGTGGTCAGGATACGGTGGTCTCACCACTGTGGCCCGGGTTCGATTCCTGTTAAGGAAAGTTCCATTTAATATTTTTGATACACAACAAGAAGTTACTGATCCACTAGATTCTGATTTGTTTCTGGATCGTTATGAGCCTTCTTCCAGAAATCCTTGTTAAAGACCTTGTGGTGCAACGGTAGTGCATCTGATTCCAGATCAGAAGGTTGTGTCCAAATCAATATGATTAAAAGTGAAAGCATTTAAAAATGACAAAAAAATGGCCAAAAAACAATGAGGTTGTGTCTCCCTGATGGTCTAGTGGTCAGGATTCGGCGCTCTCACTGCCGCACCCAGGGTTCGATTCCCGGACAGGGAAGTGACTTTTAATATTTTTGATACACGACAAGAAGTTACTGATCCACTAGATTCTGATTTGTTTCTGGATCGTTATGAGCCTTCTTCCAAAAATCCTTGTTAAAGACCTTGTGGTGCAACGGTAGTGCATCTGATTCCAGATCAGAAGGTTGTGTTTCCAAATCAATATGATTAAAAGTGATAGCATTTAAAAATGACAAAAAATGGCCAAAAAACAGTGAGGTTGTGTGTCCCTGATGGTCTAGTGGTCAGGATTCGGCGCTCTCACCGCCGCGGCCCGGGTTCGATTCCCGGTCAGGGAAGTGACTTTTAATATTTTTTATACAGGACAACATGATACTGATCCACTAGATTCAGATTTGTTTCTGGATCGTTATGAGCCTTCTTCCAGAAATCCTAACATAAGACCTTGTGGTGCAACGGTAGCGTGTCTGACACCAGATCAAAAGGTTGTGTGTTCAAGTCACATCAAGGTCAATGCTGGGAGTGCAGAAAACTTTAATACTATAAAGTTTTCTAAAAGTAATATAATTTGAGTTTTGCTCTTCTAGATAATCAAAAAGACATTACTGGAAATTAGCAGGAAATATGAACAAAAGTGATAGCATTTAAAAATGGCAATAAAAAAGGATGGCCGAAAAAATATTCATGATTGTGTGTCCCTGATGGTCTAGTGGTCAGTATTTGGCGCTTTCACCGCCGTGGCCCGGGTTCGATTCCCAGTCAGGGAAGTTCACTTTAATATTTTTGTTACACGACAAGAAGTTACTGATCCAATAGATTCTGATTTTTTTCTGGATCGTTATGAGCCTTCTTCCAGAAATCCTCATATAAGACCTTGTGGTGCAACGGTAGTGCATCTGATTCCAGATCAGAAGGTTGTGTGTCCAAATCAATATGATTAAAAGTGATATCATTTAAAAATGACAAAAAATGGCCAAAAAACAGTGAGGTTGTGTGTCCCTGATGGTCTAGTGGTCAGAATTCGGTACTCTCACCGCTGCGCCCCGGGTTCGATTCCTGGTCAGGGAAGTGACTTTTAATATTTTTTATACAGGACAACAAGATACTGCTCCACTAGATTCTGATTTTCTACTAGATCATTATGAGCCTTCTTCCAAAAATCCTCATATACGACCTTGTAGCGCAACAGTAGCGCTTCTGGTACCAGATCATGGGAGAGCAATAAACTTTAATTTTAAGAAGTTTTCTAAAATTAGCATGATTTGAGTTTTGCTCTTCTAGATAATCAAAACGGCATTACTAGAAATTGCCTGGAATTATGATCAAAATGTGATAGCATTTAAAAATGAAAAAAAAAAATGATGGCGTAAAAAACAATGAGGATTGTGTGTCCCTGAAGGTCTAGTGGTCAGGATTCGAGTCCCGGTCAGGGCAGTTCCTTTTAATATTTTTGATACATGACAACAAGATACTGATTCACTAGATTTTGATTTTTTTCTGGATCGTTATGAGCCTTCTTCCAAAGTACCTCATATGAGACCTTGTGGCGCAAGGGTAGCGCGTCTGACTCCAGATCAGAAGGTTCTGTGTTCAAATCACATCAAGGTCAAAGCTGGGAGTTCAGAAAACTTTAATACTAAAAGGAATATAATTTGAGTTTTGCTCTTCTAGATAATCAAAAATTATTTGATTTTTTTTAACAGGGAAGTTCCTTTTCATTTTTTTGATACACGACAACAAGATACTGATCCACTAGATTCAGATTTTTTTCTGGATCGTTATGAGCCTTCTTCCAAAAATCCTCATATAAGACCTTGTAGCGCAACAGTAGCGCTTCTGGTACCAGATCATGGGAGAGCAATAAACTTTAATTTTAAAAAAGTTTTCTAAAATTAATATGATTTGAGTTTTGCTCTTCTAGATAATCAAAACAGCATTACTGGAAATTGCCAGGAAGTATGATAAAAAAAGTAATATCATTTAAAAATGGCAAAAAAAATGATGGCCAAAAAAACAATACGTACTGTGTGTCCCTGATGGTCTAGTGGTCAGGATTCGATTGCCAGGAAGTATGATAAAAAAGTAATATCATTTAAAAATGGCAAAAAAAATGATGGCCAAAAAAACAATACGTACTGTGTGTCCCTGATGGTCTAGTGGTCAGGATTCGGCGCACTCACTGCTGAGACCTGAGTTTGATTCCCAAGCAGGGAACTTCCTTTTAATATTTTTGATAGAAGATACTGATCCACTAGATTCTGATTTTCTTCTAGATCGTTATGAGTATTCTTCCAAAAATCCTCATGTAAGACCTAGTGGCGTAACGGTAGCGCGTCTGACTCCAGATCAGAAGGTTGTGTGTTGAAATCACAACAAGGTCAATGCTGGGAGAGCAGTAAACTTTTATTTAAAAAAAAGTTTTCTGAAATTAATATGATTTGACTTTTGCTCTTCAGGATAATCAAAATGGCATAACTGGAAACTGCCAGGAAGTATGATAAAAAAGTGATAGCATTTAAAGATGGCAAAAAAAATGATGGCCAAAAAACAATGAGGGTTGTGTGTCCCTGAAGGTCTAGTGGTCAGGATTCGATTCCCAGTCAGGGAAGTTCTTTTTAATATTTTTGATACACGACAACAAGATACTGATCCACTAGATTCTGATTTTTTTCTGGATCGTTATGAGCCTTCTTCCAAAAATCCTCATAAAAGACCTTGTAGCGCAACGGTAGCGCTTCTGATACCAGATCATGGGAGAGCAATAAACTTTAATTTTAAAAAGTTTTCTAAAATTAGCATGATTTGAGTTTTTCTCTTCTAGATAATCAAAACGGCATTACTGGAAATTGCCAGGAAGTATGATAAAAAAGTAATATCATTTAAAAATGGCAAAAAAAAATGATGGCCAAAAAACAATGAGGGTTGTGTGTCCCTGAAGGTCTAGTGGTCAGGATTCGATTGCCAGGAAGTATGATAAAAAAGTAATATCATTTAAAAATGGCAAAAAAAATGATGGCCAAAAAACAATGAGGGTTGTGTGTCCCTGAAGGTCTAGTGGTCAGGATTCGATTCCCGGACAGGGAACTTCCTTTTAATAGTTTTGATACACGACAACATGATAATGATCCACTAGATTCTGATTTTTTTCTGGATCGTTATGAGTCTTCTTCCGAAATACCTCATATAAGAACTTGTGGTGCAACGGTAGCACTTCTGACACCAGATCAAGGGAGAGCAATAAACTTTAATTTTAAAAAGTTTTCAAAAATTATTATGTTTTGAGTTTTGCTCTTCTAGATAATCAAAACGGCATTACTGGAAATTGCCAGGAAGTATGATAAAAAAAGTAATATCATTTAAAAATGGCAAAAAAAAATGATGGCCAAAAAACAATGAGGGTTGTGTGTCCCTGATGGTGTAGTGGTCAGGATTCGGTGCTCTCACCGCTGAGACCTGAGTTTGATTCCCGGGCAGGGAACTTCCTTTTAATATTTTTGATAGAAGATACTGATCCACTAGATTCTGATTTTCTTCTAGATCGTTATGAGTATTCTTTCAAAAATCCTCCTGTAAGACCTTGTGGCGCAACGGTAGCGCGTCTGACTCCAGGTCAGAAGGTTGTGTGTTCGAATCACATCAAGGTCAATGCTGGGAGAGCAGTAAACTTTAATTTTAAAAAAGTTTTCTAAAATTAATATGATTTGAGTTTTGCTCTTCTAGATAATCAAAACAGCATTACTGGAAATTGCCAGGAAAAAATGGAAAAAAAAAATGATGGCCAAAAAACAATGAGGGTTGTGTGTCCCTGAAGGTCTAGTGGTCAGGATTCGATTGCCAGGAAGTATGATAAAAAAGTAATATCATTTAAAAATGGCAAAAAAAATGATGGCCAAAAAAACAAGTATTGTGTGACCCTGATGGTCTAGTGGTCAGGATTCGGCGCTGTCACCGTTGAGACCTGGGTTTGATTCCTGGGCAGGGAACTTCCTTTTAATATTTTATATAGAAGATACTGATCCACTAGATTCTGATTTTCTTCTAGATCGTTATGAGCCTTCTTCCAGAAATCCTCATGTAAGACCTTGTGGCGCAACGGTAGCGCGTCTGACTCCAGATCAGAAGGTTGTGTGATCAAATCACATCAAGGTCATTGCTGGGAGAGCAGTAAACTTTTATTTAAAAAAAAGTTTTCTAAAATTATTATGATTTGACTTTTGCTCTTCTAGATAATCAAAATGGCATAACTGGAAATTGCTAGGAAGTATGATAAAAAAGTGATAGCATTTAAAAATGGCAAAAAAATGATGGCCAAAACACAAGGAGGGTTGTGTGTCCCTGAAGGTCTAGTGGTCAGGATTCGATTCCCAGTCAGGGAAGTTCCTTTTAATATTTTTGATACACGACAACAAGATACTGATCCACTAGATTCTGATTTTTTTCTGCTGGATCGTTGTGAGCCTTCTTCCAAAAATCCTCATGAAAGACCTTGTAGCGCAACAGTAGCGCTTCTAAAACCAGATCATGGGAGAGCAATAAACTTTAATTTTAAAAAGTTTTCGAAAATTAGCATGATTTGAGTTTTGCTCTTCTAGATAATCAAAACGGCATTACTGGAAAATGTCAGGAAGTATGATAAAAAAGTGATAGCATTTAAAAATGGCAAAAAAAATGATAGCCAAAAAACAATGAGGGTTGTGTGTACCTGAAGGTCTAGTGGTCAGGATTCGATTCCCGGTCAGGGAAGTTCCTTTTAATATTTTTGATACACGACGACATGATACTGATCCACTAGATTCTGATTTTTTTCTGGATCGTTATGAGCCTTCTTCCAAAAATCATCATATAAGACCTTGTAGCGCAACGGTAGTGCTTCTGATACCAGATCATGGGAGAGCAATAAACTTTAATTTTAAAAAAATTTCTAAAATTAGCATGATTTGAGTTTTGCTCTTCTAGATAATCAAAACGGCATTACTGGAAATTGCCAGGAAGTATGATAAAAGAGTGATAGCATTTAAAAATGGCAAAAAAAATTATGGCCAAAAAGCAATGAGGGTTGTGTGTCCCTGAAGGTCTAGTGGTCAGGATTCGATTCCCGGTCAGGGAAGTTCCTTTTGATATTTTTGATACCAGACAACAAGATACTGATCCACTAGATTCTGATTTTTTTCTGGATCGTTATGAGCCTTCTTCCAAAAATCCTCATATAAGACCTTGTAGCGCAACGGTAGCGCTTCTGGTACCAGATCATGGGAGAACAATAAACTTTAATTTTAAAAAGTTTTCTAAAATTAGCATGATTTGAGTTTTGCTCTTCTAGATAATCAAAACAGCATTACTGGAAATTGCCAGGAAGTATGATAAAAAAGTGATAGCATTTAAAAATGGCAAAAAAATGATGGCCAAAAAGCAATGAGGGTTGTGTGTCCCTGAAGGTCTAGTGGTCAGGATTCGATTCCCAGTCAGGGAAGTTCCTTTTAATATTTTTGATACACGACAACAAGATACTGATCCACTAGATTCTGATTTTTTTTCTGGATCGTTATGAGCCTTCTTCCAAAAATCCTCATATAAGACGTTGTAGCGCAACGGAAGCGCTTCTGGTACCAGATCATGGGAGAGCAATAAACTTTAATTTTAAAAAGTTTCCTAAATTTAGCATGATTTGAGTTTTGCTCTTCTAGATAATCAAAACGGCATTACTGGAAAATGCCAGGAAGTATGATAAAAAAGTGATAGCATTTAAAAATGGCAAAAAAAATGATGGCCAAAAAAGAATGAGGGTTGTGTGTACCTGAAGGTCTAGTGGTCAGGATTCGATTCCCGGTCAGGGAAGTTCCTTTTAATATTTTTGATACACGACAACATGATACTGATCCACTAGATTCTGATTTTTTTCTGGATCGTTATGAGCCTGCTTCGAAAAATCCTCATATAAGACCTTGTAGCGCAACAGTAGCGCTTCTAAAACCAGATCATAGGAGAGCAATAAACTTTAATTTTAAAAAGTTTCCTAAAATTAGCATGATTTGAGTTTTACTCTTCTAGATAATCAAAACGGCATTACTGGAAAATGCCAGGAAGTATGATAAAAAAGTGATAGCATTTAAAAATGGCAAAAAAAATTATGGCCAAAAAACAATGAGGGTTGTTTGTACCTGAAGGTCTAGTGGTCAGGATTCGATTCCCAGTCAGGGAAGATCCTTTTAACTTTTTTTTGATACACGACAACAAGATACTGATTCACTAGACTCTGATTTTTTTCTGGATCGTTATGAGCCTTCTTCCAAAATTCCTCATATGAGACATTGTGGCACAACGGTAGCGCGTCTGACTCCAGATCAGAAGGTTCTGTGTTCAAATCACATCAAGGTAAATGCTGGGAGAGCAGTAAACTTTCATTTTAAAAAAGTTTTCTAAAATTAATATGATTTGAGTTTTGCTCTTCTAGATAATCAAAACAGCATTACTGGAAATTGCCAGGAAGTATGATAAAAAAGTAAAATCATTTAAAAATGGCAAAAAAAATGATGGCCAAAAAACAATGAGGGTTGTGTGTCACTGAAGGTCTAGTGGTCAGGATTCGATTGCCAGGAAGTATGATAAAAAAGTAATATCATTTAAAAATGGCAAAAAAAAATGATGGACAAAAAAACAATAAGTATTGTGTGTCCCTGATGGTCTAGTGGTCAGGATTCGGCGCTGTCACCGTTGAGACCTGGGTTTGATTCCTGGGCAGGGAACTTCCTTTTAATATTTTATATAGAAGATACTGATCCACTAGATTCTGATTTTCTTCTAGATCATTATGAGCCTTCTTCCAGAAATGCTCATGTAAGACCTTGTGGCGCAACGGTAGCGCGTCTGACTTCAGATCAGAAGTTTGTGTGATCAAATCACATCAAGGTCAATGCTGGGAGTGCAGTAAACTTTTATTTAAAAAAAGGTTTTCTAAAATTAATATGATTTGACTTTTGCTCTTCTAGATAATCAAAATGGCATAACTGGAAATTGCTAGGAAGTATGATAAAAAAGTGATAGCATTTAAAAATGGCAAAAAAAAAAATGATGGCCGAAAAACAATGAGGGTTGTGTGTCCCTGAAGGTCTAGTGGTCAGGATTCGATTCCCAGTCAGGGAAGTTCCTTTTAATATTTTTGATACACGACAACAAGATACTGATCCACTAGATTCTGATTTTTTTCTGCTGGATCGTTGTGAGCCTTCTTCCAAAAATCCTCATAAAAGACCTTGTAGCGCAACAGTAGCGCTTCTAAAACCAGATCATGGGAGAGCAATAAACTTTAATTTTAAAAAGTTTTCTAAAATTAGCATGATCTGAGTTTTGCTCTTCTAGATAATCAAAACGGCATTACTGGAAATTGCCAGGAAGTATGATAAAAAAGTGATAGCATTTAAAAATAGCAAAAAAAATTATGTCCAAAAAACAATGAGAGTTGTGTGTCCCTGAAGGTCTAGTGGTCAGGATTCGATTCCCGGACAGACAATTTCTTTTTAATAGTTTTGATACACGACAACATGATACTGATCCACTAGATTCAGATTTTTTTCTGGATCGTTATGAGCCTTCTTCCAAAAATCCTCATATAAGACGTTGTAGCGCAACGGAAGCGCTTCTGGTACCAGATCATGGGAGAGCAATAAACTTTAATTTTAAAAAGTTTTCTAAAATTAGCATGATTTTAGTTTTGCTCTTCTAAATAATCAAAACAGCATTACTGGAAATTGCCTGGAATTATGATCAAAAAGTGATAGCATTTAAAAATGACAAAAAAAGGCCAAAAAACATTGAGGTATGTGTGTCCCTGATGGTCTAGTGGTCAGGATTCGGCGCTCTCACCGTTGCGGCCCAGGTTCGATTACCGTTCAGGGAAGGTCCTTTTAAAAAATTTGATACACGACAAAAAGCTACTGATTCAGATGTTATTAACCCCTGACGCATTCTCTTTGAAACAAAACTAGAATATTCTGGAAGAATATCCTTATCTCTTCCTGCCTAGGAAGAAAAGGGGAGTCAAAGCAGTCCTCTTTCCCTTTTCCGAGGCCATGTATAATAAAACCATT